CACACACACACACACTCCCCGCTGACTACAACAGTCATCATGCATCTCTGTCTGTTACTGGAGGGAACTATATGTGTGTGTGCACGTTTGTGTGTTTCTTCCACGGCTGTCTCGAAGGTATGATACAGTTGCCTTGTCTCTGAGGTATCACGTGGAGTTATTTATACAGTTGATTAATGAGATAAAGCCTGCAGTATTAATCATACACTGACTACCTCAGAGTACCTTCTTTTGCTGAAATGCTGCCTCCCCAGAGAAAGAGGAGAGTGTGTATTGCATGTGTGGTGCGATTCTTATTGACAAAGATGTTGTAGAGCACCGCTGTTATTGTGTTGTTTTATACATTAGATCTTGTAAAATACAAACACTTTCTGCCTTTACGCTAAGTTTTGTTCGTACAGGGAACAGCTGCTTCTTGTGAGGAGAATGTTCTTCTCCCTCCCTACAATTTCCTCTCCTCATCTGCTCTTTTTTCCCCCTGCCTTTTATAATTTCTTTTCAACCTGTCCTTCCACTCACGGCCCTGTTCTCGCGCTGCCCTCAGCCACTGCATACAGCAGATCCTGGAGAGTGTCCATCACTGCCACGTTAATGGGATTGTTCACAGAGATCTGAAGGTTGGTATGACCACAGCCATCTCAGACCACGCAAGCCAAAAATCCACCCTCAAAAATGCAAAGATTTGCATTTCTTTTAACATTTTCATGTTTAGCCTCTTTTGTTATGTTCTGGCGAAGCTGAGAAAAACACCATTGTCAGGTTGCCACTTTAGGGAAAACAGGTCAGGGAAAACGGATGAATTTACCTCATTCGCTGATTCCTCTTAGCAGGGAGACGTGGCATGTGGCATAGTAAGCCCTGTTGCAATTTGAGGTTTCTACATAAGACAGAAAATGATATTATAATCCTTGTCTCGGAGTGAGTGCAAATACAGTAGCAAATAGACATCATGATACATGTTGCTGTCATTAATTCCAAAGTGTGGAAAATAGAGCCCACCGTAAGTGCTTCTGTAGTAATTCAGAGGATTGAGCAACAAATACTCATTAAACGATCAGCAGAAAGTACCTTCATAAAAGCAGACGTTTTGTCAGTTTATTGGCCTTGGGCATTTTAAGTGTGTGTGTTACAGAGGATAGAAGACTCAAGTAATGTTTTTTGAGAAACAACTGAATGAAATCATTTGGAGCCATCATCCTACAAGTGTTTTTCCACCCTGTAGAATGATGATTATCCACAAGTTAAAAAAAAATACTCAATAAGATTTCCCAGTTTTGTCAGGAATGGCACCACAACAATTCCCCCACCCCCACCCCCCCCATGATCACATGGTTCAATGTAAAAAGAAAACATGAGGCCTACTTCTCAGACTGTGCATGCCTCACTTAGCAAGCTGCATATAAACGTTTTTGACAGAACGGTTTTGAACAAAAAAACTTTGAACAAGTTCGACTTGCTTGGAAGGGTTCTTCTTGCCGCAAAGAAATTGAAAAACAGAAGCTATACTGTCATGGATGAATAGTCCATCCATCCATTTATGTACCGCTTATTCCCAAACGGGGTCGCGGGGGGACTGGAGCCTATCCCAGTATTCAATGGGCGAGAGGCGGGGTACACCCTGGACAGTCTGCCAGTCCATACATGCTAGTATTTACAGGCGTATAATGAAGGAGCAGTGAAGCAATAATATCTTCAGGACAGATGAGAACAAAGTGGAGAAGTTTGATTGTAACCCATGTAAATCAGCGTGATTAGAGAGAGACTTTCTCGTTGGCGTTGATACTAATATAAGTATATTCTGCACGATCAGAACTCAGGATGAGTATTTTTCAAAATGGGGGACAGAAAAAAAAATGTTGCAGTTGTAACTAGAAGCACAAATTGAGCTAATTTCATGCTTGCACATGAAATTTCCATTTGACCGAATATGTGAGGAGGTACCCTGTAAAATTAATTCAAGTTAAGGTTTTATTGGCTTCATGAGTGGGAGAATTTGTTCACTTTTGTATAGATAACCGTACAGATTTGTCCAGTTTTAAGTGTCTTGTCGAGTTATAAAATCTGCTATGAGCTGACTGCTTGCAGGCTGTCTGTGTTTGGAGTCTCTAAATGTTAGGAAATGAATAATTCATTAGAGCACACTGTCTCACTGGCCTTGGGTTAGCAAAGACCTTTCTGCACCTGTGTCCATGTGTGTGTGTTTGAGAGTGTGCGCACACGTCTGCACGCTTGTGGGCATCACGAAAATGTATGATTGTGCAAAACTGTATTAGTGTGCGCCGTGCGACTGCTGTTAGTTATACGTGGCTGAGTCACTTGTTTTTATCGCCTCCTGTGGCACAACACCTTCCCCCCTGTATCTCCCCCCCTTCACTGTGCACTTGGCTCCCACTCATGGATTCTTACGGCGGATTGGCAGCCCCGTGGACGAGAACATCTCGTCCCATGCCAAGTCCCTCCTGCTGAATCCATGAAGCTGGGGGTGCAAGTCCGCAGCTCCAGCATATAAAATGTCCATGGTCACTTAGAGAGTTGGTCCCGTGCACATGTTTGTGTCTCTGTCATTTGTGTGGCAGAAAGGGAGTTGCCTCAGACACTGATTTAAGAGCAGTTTAGTGTCACTGGCCCCTAATGCTTTCGCTTAGGATTTGGTTTGGCTAATCTGATTTTAGATCTGTGTCTGTGGGCAGCTTGGTCCCTGAGCGTGTGACCTCTCACTTCTAACCTGTTTGACTCCGCCCCCCCCAGCCTGAGAACCTTCTATTGGCCAGTAAGCTGAAGGGGGCGGCGGTCAAGTTGGCTGACTTTGGGCTGGCTATCGAAGTACAGGGGGACCAACAGGCATGGTTTGGTGAGTATTCCCCCATCCGTTTCTTCAGTCGTAAACAGTTCAACCAAAAGACAATTCAGCCGATCATTTGTTTTTGGTAGACACCGGTCGGGATTTTTTCTTTAACAACAAATATTAACCAAGATTTAGCTGAGAACTCAGTCAATTTTACTTGATGTGAATCGAACAGGTTTTTCTATCGTTTCGACTTCCTTTTTTTCTGGCGGAAAATTTGTCGACATATTGGTGCGATCAAAATATTAAAACCACTGGGAATGGTGTGTGAAGTTAAAATCCCTACTCCAGAGACAGATAGTCATAATGACTAATTAGTGCAAACTGTTGTTTTCAAAGAGGTCTCTTAAGGATGCCACGAACACAGTTCAGGTTTTCTTTCCCATTTCCACCACAGCAGGAAGACCAATGACTTGGTCCCAGAATATCTTCTTGCTATTGTTTAAACAAGACAGCACTCCACATCCTCCTCATAATGCTAACTTGGGTTTACATCATTGACAGGAATAACTGGACTGAAATTTAATATAATTTTTCAAAGAGTTCAGACTTGAAGATCACTGAAGCAGTGTGGGATTCTCTGGACTGAGAACAGCTATCACCTGTGACCTCAGTCAGAACTGACAGTAGATGATGTGGATGTGACAAATTAACTTCCATAGGTCCATATATGTGCTTTGAAATGTCTTTCAAATATCCCAAAGAACGAAACCTGAAGACTGCGTCAAGTAATGATGAGCTTGTGTGAGAGGTTCAGGCTGTGCTGGAGAATAAAAGGGACCATACTGAGCATTTGGAATGGATGATTTGTTAAGGAAGAAGAGACGGCTCAAGTTTTGGAACAGTACTGGAATATTATAGGTTTATTCTTTAAAACTATGTTACAATTTACTTACTTCCTGGCTCTTGTTTTTCGTGGTATATAGACTACAAAGACATATATTCAGACTCGCCCAAGTAAAACATTTTAACAGTTATACAGCAACAACATCAAACAACTGTTTACATTTATGAATATGAAATTTGAGGAGACTTACACACACTTACATTATATTACATATTCATGTTTAATCTTTTTAAGAGAGAGTGTTAGACTCTATCTATGTGAAATCGTGTTATTTCAGCAACTGAAACAACACATTTTCCAGTCTTTCCCTTTTTACTCTTCTTTATATATAAGCTTTTAGTCTTCAAAGTGCTTTTATCACACGTAATTTTCTTCTTACAATGCTTGTCTTCTGGAGGCTTTGTTACAGACCAGTTCAGCAGATTAAATCACCTCCAGCCTGGAAGCTGTACCGATATCCACAAAAGTTTGTTAACTCTGTAAATCTGTGCGGTAGATGGCACACATGCAGAGCTTCTAAGAATTTGAGTGTTCTGTGATTTAAGTGACTTGTCAGTGAACATGACTCCAGTTTTAAACACATTGTTGTAATGTAATAACCAGTATCCCAGTGGCTCTAATGTTTTGGATACAAATATGTGACATTAGAGCATTTATTTTAAGGTGTATTTCCGGGAAATACATTTCTTACTCTTTATTCGCTCAGATTTTTTGAGTCAGTCTAGTCTAGTCCCCAATTTACCTGAAGATTTCCGAGAAGGCAATCATCGCTTTTGATAAACACCCTCCTATCTAAGTGCGCATCATCTGGCTAAAACAGTTTTTCAATAAACAATCCCTTTCCAATGTCCCCGGTCAAATTTTGCACCCAAACATAGCCATGGAAGGAACTGTAAACACTTCTAAATGATAAATTCAACGTGTGATTAACATAAATTCCCAAGCAGCAGAGAGCTGAAATGATCAAATTCCCGCATCCATGTGCCATTACACATCGCTACCCTTTTTCCATGTTACTTTGCAAGGTTTTGCCGGCACTCCGGGGTACTTGTCTCCGGAAGTTCTGAGGAAAGACCCATATGGGAAACCAGTGGACATGTGGGCCTGTGGTAAATAACAATACGATTCTCTCCTGTCTGTTTATTTGAATTTAATGATGGAAAGTAAGTCTTAGTATCCTGACCCAATAGTGTAGCTTGTTGTTGTGATTGTTTGTTGAATACACAGGCTATAGAACTATACCATGTCGTTTCCTTTTAGGGGTGATTTTGTACATCCTGTTGGTGGGCTACCCTCCCTTCTGGGATGAAGATCAACATCGGCTCTACCAACAAATCAAGGCTGGGGCCTACGATGTAAGCATGCAGAGAGTAGAAAGAGCTTAAATTTAAAACATCCGAGCTGAACAGATTGGACTTTTTAAAATGAATTTGCTCTCTTACGGTCACAAACAAAGAAAATAGACGCACATAACTAGTGTCATAGTGTAAAGATACTGGTTTTTATTGTGAATATTTTAGTCGACGTGGCTCACTCAAATGCAATATGACCTCCACATAGAGGAAAAACACAAACCGATCTCAGTACTAAAAGAAACAAAGTCCTTTCAAGCTGTTTTAAGATGTTTTCACACAGTCTGCGTTTTAAGGAAATGAACCATCATATCAAACCTGCCATGTCATTTATATGTACGGTTCTATAAAAGTTCAGTTTTTCTTCTGCCTTTTCTTTAGATGATGGTAGGTTGATGATGATTTTCTGGTCTCTTCATTAATATTCTCTGTGGTCCTTTCTTCTTATTCAATTTGCTTCAGCGTCCCATGTACTTTATTTTTAACCACGCCAGCTTTTCTGTGTAATTAGTGTTTTGAACACTTGTTTTTTTTGACAGTTCCCATCCCCTGAGTGGGACACTGTCACCCCCGAGGCCAAAGATCTGATTAACAAGATGCTAACAATCAACCCCAGTAAACGCATCACTGCCGCGGAGGCCCTCAAACATCCCTGGATCTGCGTATGTGACACAGTGACACACGCACATGTTTCGATAGAGACTTATCAAAATAGAAACATGCCCTACTAAAGATGTATCCAGGCACACAAATGTTTTTTGTAGTTTTGTAACAAAAATATAAGCTCAACACATGCAGAAATGGTCCCGGACTCTTTGCAGCTGCATTGTTGTTTCTGTCCCCTCTAATCCTTGAATTCCCTCTTCCAGCAACGGTCCACTGTGGCCTCCATGATGCACAGGCAGGAGACTGTGGAGTGCCTGAAGAAATTCAACGCCAGGAGGAAACTCAAGGTGGGGCTTTTGCCAGTCACTGTTTCTGTTTTAAGAGGAGCAATCCATCAAAACCATTTCTATTCCCTTCTTTTCTCTTCTTCCTCATTTGGCACTTTGCTGTAAATTAAAAAAAAAGAAAAGAAAAAAGATTGTTCACTAAAACCTTCAGGTTTCACTGCTGCTGTGCCTCCCCGTTCTTGCTGCAACCTTATGATAAGTCTCCCTCTTCCTCTCTGTCTCCTCCCTTTTTTTATACCATCGTCATTTCCTCCTTTTTCCCTTCTCTCCTGTCACTGCAGGGAGCAATATTGACCACTTTGCTGGTCACCAGAAACTTCTCAGGTATGTTTCTCTCAGCTTTGTGTTAAAGAACTGATCTGCAAAACACATCTTCTCAACTAAGGACTTGTTCTCTTCTAAAGCTGCTTGGTGGAAAAAATTGTAGCTTTTTATCCTGAAAGTAGTTTTGTAGTACCTTTCTCCTAATGCTGTGTCACGACCAAGTTGGTAGAAGAGTTGAGAAATTCTAACTATAAGATCGAAAAAAGAAAAGAGACATCTTAATGACATGCCATTGATCCATTTCCTTATGAAACAAAGACGATTTGTAGCACAAAAGAGGCCTTACATAAAGAGAGTCATCTCCCTTTTATCTCAGTAGCTGTTATTCTCTCACTTTCTCTGTTTTGTCATGCTTCTTGCATGTATTTCCTTTGACATGTCTCTTTCCGGGGTCTTACTAGCCCACCTCACTCCCCACTCTACAATGAAATGCACCTGAGCATCTATTTCTCTTTTATTCATCATTTTCTTCTTTTTTTTCAATTTTCCTTCCTTTTTTTCTTTCTTTTGTTTGGATTTTGGGGTATCCATTTGAGGTAAGATTTTATTTGGTATGACAGGGAAATGTGTGGGGTTGGTGGGCCCATCTGATAAGTTGGGTTATTTAGCCTCTTTTAATCTTCTAATAGCCTGTTCAACGTGCATGAAGATTAGGCATTTGATATTTGAAACAGTGCTATGGAAACTTTTTAAATGCAGCTTGGTTTTATTATTTTTTTTAATGCCGACATAAAGTGAGGGAATAGTGGTAACTCGCGTGGCTTTGGGGGATTTACTGCATGTGCGTGAATGTCAGTTTAGGATGTTTGTGTCAGTCAGGTACTCATAGGCTGTCCTTCTCTTCACCTGCTGTATGTAAACCGTATTGACCACCTACCCTTCCGTTCTGCCTCTCCCTTATGAATCAGTGTTTGCTGGGATAACAGTCTTGCATATATAGCCCTGACGTTATTGAGAGGATTTCTTTGCCTTGCTTTGTGGACCTTGCAGTTGGAAATCTTGCACCTGGAGATTTGACGATAGGCACAATTGATTGGAATGCTTGCTGCATGTTAAGAAAAGCCTCAGGGGTGGAACACTCATTTGTGAACTTTAATGCTGAACCCTTGTCCTCTTCTTTGCCTCTGCAGCAGCCAAGAGTTTGCTCAACAAGAAGGCAGACGGCGTTAAGGTGAGTTGCTTTCCAAAGAGAGGGCAGTGCCTGGTTTCTTGCATTATTCTCTTGGAACGTGCAGTGTTATTGAATCTTATTACCGTGCATTGTGCACTTTGTCATCATCATTCAGGGACAGTCACTAAAAGCTGCAGGAAGTGGTCGTTATTTAATGTTGCTTGGAGAAATGGTAGACCATGTGGATGATGTGGAATGGCACAGGGGCTTCACCATTGTCCTTAATCAAAAGCTTTTTGTAATTTTTTTATTTGAGAACAAGTACTTGTTTTCTTGCTCACATTAACACCGCTGTCCCCCACACCCCAAAAGCCTGTTTGTGTGCAAACACGCTACGTTTCTGGTTTCAGATTTACTCCTGTTAGTACAAATCCGCTGCGCTCTCTTGCATTCAGATTTCTTCTGTGTGTATCGCTCTTGCCTATTTTCTAGACTTGTTGTGAAATGGAACCCCTTGAAAGGATTTTGTTTACAGCGTTCGATTACTCCCTGACCGGCTTCCTGTCACCACTTGACAACATGGATAACACAAACTGCATCTTGTCATAAAGCGTCCATTTTGAAGCACATTCTGCCACTTGGGTCAACGTCAGATGTCTGAATTTAGATTATCAGTATTAAAAACAGGCTTAGATCCTGTTTCACAGTTACTAGGATCAGTTTATTTTCTACTTTTCACTTGAAAATAAAGTCCCATTTGATCATTACAAATCTTAGATAATACATCCTGTAATAATAATAAAAATGATAAAAATGTTTCAGCCGTATTTACTCCTTGCATGATCTGTCTAACCTAGTTGGCCAAAAATTGCACGGGAGGCATGCTTTGGAGTAAAACGAGTGCTTCCACGAAGAGACACTGACATGGATGCAAAAAGTAGATATTCAAAATCAAATGAATTGCATTTGCACAGAAGATCCTTGCAAGGAAAAGGGCTCAAGATGGAGACTGCATTTGTACAAAAAACAGGAAATCCGAGACCAGAGAAAAGCTTGAGCTTATTTGCATTCAATCAATAACATTTTTGATTGTCAGGACAAAGTGTTGAAGGTAATATAATGCAAAAGTTTAAAAACAATCAATGCTGCTCTCCACATGAAAAAAATACTTTTGATTAAAGATAGCAATATACCTTTATAGTATAGGAGTTATATGTCTATTCTATTGACTAATCTCTTTCATTTCTGTGTGAATTTTCTGAATTGACCATGTTACATATTTTCCATAATCATTTCATCTTGACTGTTGAGGCCCTTTGTGCTCTAACCTAGATTAAGGTCCAATTTAAAACCTAACATCTGATGTTCAGTAGGGGCGCATGTGCTCGCTTCAGTGCAAGTTTGGACAGCTCCTAAGAGATCTGTTCCACTCAATGATTATTTGTGCCTGTTTTTTATAGAAGTGGTTGGAGCTTTGCATACAGTCTTATTATTCTGGGATGTGACCGTTTATGATCTGATGACAATATGAAAAAAATAAAAAATAAAAAAGAAGCCTTACCAGACATGTCACTTTAAAAAAAAGGGAAAGTAGACAATTTTTAAAACAATTCTTCGGAAGATCCTCTGATAATTTTTCAAATAGAATAAAAACTGCCCTGTGTTTGCCCAGTGTATTTAAAGATAGATTTTTTTAAAGAGGGGTTGGATTACCTTAAGTATACATCAGTGGTATTAATAAACAGGAAATACACAGAAAGGTGTACAGTACAGGGCTGAAGTTATTGGCACCTCATTGATGTTGTTGAGTCCAGTATGTGACACTTTAAAGCACTTTGGGTTACTATTTAGTTCTATACATAGAACTCTGTTTAAAGCTGAGGTGCTTTTGCTGAAATTCTAAGCTTAACTGCTCAAACTCACTGTGAAATCATCCATTTTTCATTTGGTCATTTCTGAGCAATACTCAACAAGCTGTGTTTTTTCTGAGTCCTAATTGCAATAATGCTTGTAGCTTCATGCTAGAAAAAAGCAGTATTCCCCAGACTGGCCATACAAGTCAGATAGAGTCAAATTAGTCATTGTGTCGAAAAGTGTAAAAAAAATAAAACGAGAAGGAAATAAAGGTAAAAAAATTCCCATCCCTTCTTTTAACTGGAATGCAAGCACAAGGTTAGGAAGGAGGGGCAGGCGTATGGAACATGGTTACATCATCACCTCATTCAGGATTAATGATTTCCTTCTGAATAGGCCCAATTCATGTCTCTTCAAAGTCCAGATGCTTTAAGTATGATAATCTTGTGATCGTTGATCAAAACGCTTTCATTATATTTGTGTTTTACTAGTGATATATTGCTATGTATATATTAGTGATATATTGCTGTCATTGCTAGATTTGAGCATCCACTGCAGGCATAGCAGTTGTGAGATCAAGTCTTACAAAATGAAAGTGGCACGCCTTTCCCGAAAACTATTTTCCTTGTAAATTTGGGAGCTTTAGCTTGTTAATTTACAGTCTAGTCAGTTTTTCAATTTTCAACAACAATATATGCAGAAGGAAAAAATCTTTCAATTAATCATTTGTTTCCATTTTGTTTTATCTCTAACAAGTCAGCCTTGAATTTAGTAAAACAATTTTTTTTAAAAGAAGCGACAAATAGACTAAAAAATATTGAAAGAAATCTGTGAGTATGAGTGAGTAATTCCCCTGTGAATTATTTTAATAAAGCTCCCATACGGCTCAGTTTAATTCACGCGTGCCACTGCCAGCATCTGATGCGAGCTTTCTTCCATACATTTTCAGTCCTTGTATCTTACAAGGTAGAACCGTAAGATGCTCAACTCCCATAATTTGGTCTTGGGCGTTAGCGGTGCAGAGCCTGATAGCATCAGGTCTTTGGGACACATGAGTTGGGTTGATCATTTTGGAATGTGAGAGAGAGAGAAAGAGAAAGAGAGAGAGGGAGAGTGTACTTTTGTGTGCCTGAAAAGCGTGTATGTGTGTCATGTCCCCTCTACACTGCCCCCTGCAGGTCAACAACAAAGCCAACACAGTGACCAGTCCTAAAGACACAGGCCCTGCCCCTGCACTGGTATACACACTCAGTCTCATCCACACCCACACCGTCTCTCACAAAACATCCAAATCTCACATCCCGCCACGGAGCAGATGCAGGTTCACCATATCTGCAGGGTCAGAACATTTTCTGCCCGTCGAGCGTGACAGAGTTTAAATTCTTTTGTAGGGTGTTTAAGAATATTCACCTAATCGAGGGAAGTAACATGAAGTGAAACAGCCATCTAGCTCAATATCAGGCTATCCCTGAATGAATTAGTATGTAAAAGCATTGTGACTGCACAGCATGTTCCTTCCTCAAAGTCTTTGATAAAGCTAGCCTTTAAAGATTTTCATAATTCAGATTGGTGTATTCGCTCATTCATCCTAATAAGCTGTGCATGCATGGTGAAGATAGTCGTGCAATGCTATTCTTGGGCTGAATCTGTAATCCTTAACACACAGTTGACTTCGATTTGCATTGCCTTAAACCTGTGATCTCGTCCAATACTTGCTTTTTGCCATTTCCTTACCCTCTCATTACATGCATGGACCCCTTCCATACCATTTGCCATTCCTCATTCCTCCCATAAGAATCTGGAATCTCTGGCAAGAATTCTGACGTGGACTCAGTACACGCTGCTGACGTTTTTCTGTGCATGGCATCCGTGCTTATGGGTACCACAACCATCTCTGACTGGTGTTTGTGTATTTTCTGCTTATAGGCTGTCTGTGTCAGGGCACATGACCTCTTCTCTGCATGATGTAAAAGATTTTCTGCTCCCCAGTTTGTTGTCAAGTTGATTACGCATGAATGCAGGCGTATGACATCTGCTGTCTCTTTCTCTCTCTGTCCCTCTCTCTGTCTCCATCGGCAAGCACACACAGACACTCACGCAAATGCGCACACACACACACAAACAGATGTGAATTCTGATGCTATAATCTTGTGTAATCTGCATGAGCGATTGGAGGGTCTGAGCTTGGTGTCAGGATCGATTCTGCAAAAGCCCAGACATCTGATTACTGATGTGGAAACCAGGAAAAACAAATGCGAGAAAAAGGCTTTTGGAAGATTTTTTATTTACATACAGACTGACAGACATCACGACTTTGAATTTTGAGGTCCACACAGGCACATTTCCATGAACAATGTACATGGTGTCATATCTCTTGTTTGTCTGTTTTTTGCTATTTGATCCTTCAAATGTTCTCTGTTGTATGTCCTTTGTAGGAACCGCAAACAACAGTGATTCACAACCCCGTGGATGGAAACAAGGTATGACAACAAAGCTCTTGTGCTGAGGGCTACTCTCCCCTTTCTCAATTAAAATGAATAGCAGCCCCCCACCCCCAAACCAAACTATCAACCGTAGTGGTCATTTTTGTGTGCTTTCATGATCTGTTCTTGATAAAAGATGTTTCTCAAGCCATCTCAGTATTCCCGAAGAATACCCTGATTGAAAGCTAAATTCAGACTTCATTGTAGGGTTGTGTCACTTCTCCATCCTCTCATCATAGCCATCTGGAGGTGGCTATTGACAAAATAATTAATGCCAAGGTGCTCCCATGCCTTGGTTTGCAAGAGCAATTGAGATCTGATGGTTTTTATTTTAGCACCCGTTGATATTTGCCAACTAGAAGCCAACTGAAGATGGCAAATCTGCTCGATTGTAAATTCACAACAGTCCGCATGTACCCAGTGGACCCGTTAGCGCTTGACCGCAACCAATACAGTTTCATTGACGACTCATGTGTGTCATGTTATAAACTCTGGCCGCGCAAAAAAAAAAAAAATCCACAAAACCTTGTCATGTGCCGCATTCAGATGTCTGTGTTTGATTAAAGGGTGGACGTTTCTTTTCATTGCGTCACAGGAGTCCGTTGAGAGTGCCAACACCACCATCGAGGATGAGGATGTCAAAGGTAGGGAAATTCCACTGCCAGTCTGACAGCACAGCAGTTGCAACTGTCAGCCCCCGACATTTCCAGTCAGACTGACCACTCCTGTGTTTGTTTTTTCTTCATTCTTTTCAACCACACAGCTGGTAACTAACTACTGCAAAACCCTATTTTGCCTTTCCACGATTGCAAAATACATTTGAATTTTGATTTTTATCCGGTGCCTACCCTCGAAGGCACCGTTCTTTCTCCATTTTACGTCCGAACGTTGTGCGCATTTTTTTCTTCAAACAGTTTTATATTTTCAGTATTGTATTTAATGTCACCCCTCTCTATTTTTCTCCCTTTTCTTGTGTTTTGCTGCAAACATCATATTTCCCTCATGATTCCTCCCTCAACAAACATGCTTGTCTTTGTTTCATCCCCCACCCGATGCACACACTTGACACCCGAATCATGCGCCCGTCACTCATGCAACCTCTGTCAGCCCTTGGTCTGGGCAGCTTAGTGAGCGGTATGTTGAGCTCTAAGAGTCGTTCCTCACAGATGTCTGACTCAAGACAGACTCCCACCTCCACAGTTCAGAGTAAGTCCCTCTGCAGAAGGGGAGATGCCCCGTTTCATTCACACTATGTAGAACAATGACCACTCTGTGTAAAGTGTCTCAAATCCCGTCTTTCTGGTGTTAAAATAAATTGTCTATACAGCCTGATATTTGATAGCCTGTATTTTTTTAAATAATTGTTCCTTATCCTTATTCTACACGTCTTATACCCTCTTCAGTAAAATGAAACCTCTGTTTATGACCCTTGAATATTTTGTCCTTCCGTCTTTTGTTTGTAAAGGGGGTGAAACCCTGTATAATTTGTGGCGTGTAGATGTAGATCTCCGCTCTCTTCTCCATTTGCGGTTTGTTCTGACGTACCCACAAATACTGTCACACGCAGTGAAGAGCTAATTATATGCGTTTCCATACACTCAGTGTTGTAGTTACTGTCTGTGACAGAGCTGAAGATTACACAGTAATCTACAGTTTTTATTACTGAACATGTCTCTCTTGTTGCATAATTTAAGTAATTTTTTCAATATCCCCCAGCCTGCACCAATAACAATAAAGGTAACTGTCAATGTTACTTAGTAAAAACTACATTTGTAGTAAATACATTGCATCTGAGCATTGATTTGTCTGTCCATCTTGAGCTTTGTTCGGTGAAAGTTTCCGTCATCCTGCATTTTCCTGCCTGATATCACTATTAGTCATGGGAGGCTTTATAATGTTTTTTTTTTCTCTTCTTGTTCTTTTTTTCCTTTTTTTAACTCAGACATTATTATTCCTGGAAAATCTTTTTTTCAAGCCTTCCATTTCTAATAATTTTGAGTCCTGCAAATGCATAGACTAGATCCCAGATTTTCTTTATCTGCACTTAGAACGTTTGCCTGGAAAACTAATACATGCTGTTTAATCCATCTTTGCTGATAACGATCTGTGACCCTGTGTTGTAGCTCGCAAACAGGAAATTATTAAAGTCACTGAGCAGCTGATCGAGTCTATCAACAATGGAGACTTTGAGGCCTATGCGTAAGTTCTCTCCTTAAATGCAGTTACATCTAAGTGTGTGATTTGTTTGTTCGCTGAGTTTTCTGTGTCTGCGCTCCTTTCCCACGCAACAGGAAGATTTGTGATCCTGGACTGACTTCCTTTGAGCCCGAGGCCCTTGGAAATCTGGTGGAAGGACATGACTTCCATCGCTTTTACTTTGAGAATGGTGAGTTCAACAATCAGAAAATATAAAGGTATACCAAAGAATAAACACTTGTATGTCATTGAAAACATTCTCTCAGCAATTACTTTTACCATATTAGCTTTATTTAATTTCTCAGTAGCCTTGGCAATTTATCTGATTACCTGTTTGTCAATTGCTTTTGGCTGTATTGTTTGTCATACCTTTTTTCCCCATTGTTGTTGCTAATTCCTTTAAATTAGTCCTTTGTCACTTTGTCCATCTCAGGTATTTCTAATGTAGTGCTTTGTTCAAAGACTATTGAAAAATAAGCAAAGCAAAACCGGTATAAAGAGCTAAAGCACTTTACTTAAGATTCCCTAAATCATTTCCTTGTTCTTCTTCAGTGTTATCATTATTTTGGATCTCAGTGATTCTTGAGTTCCATAACTTAAAGGCCACTCATTTTGGAGAAGGCAAAAAAAGTTTAGCAGTGAACATTTTGGAAGCATAAGCTGAAAGTGTTCAAAGTATGTGAGAATATATTTGCTCTTTGGTTTTTACCAGAGAACTAAAAAAACAAATTCACATGCCGTGCGACTCAGAGTTTTCTCCAAGTGGTTCAAGCGCCAGGAAGGCCTGTGTCCCAATGATATACCCAAGTTTGTTGTAATTTAGCTGGCCAAATGTGCTTGCTTACATTGGCCAATGGTCAATCTGTTGCACAATTTAATTGCTACAGTGTTTTGTCTGGGGGGGGTTCAAATAAAGTTGATGAGCAAAACATTACTTGAAAGACTCCCAAATCACTGTAGCAATACCAGAGCAAAAAGATTACTCACTAAAACAGATAAATCAGTGCAGACTGCATCTGTCTTCATTTTTTATTTTGTGAAGGAAAAAAATGAGGGTCCTCAACACGGTAAATGAGGTTATGTGATTTATGGAGAGTATAAATAGTACATGTGTGTGTTTGCCTTGAACTGTGTGCTAAATATCAATACTCGGTCCGATACGTTTACAGCGAGTGTTTGCGAGTACACTACAAGGACGAGGTTTAACCTTGGAGCAAAAACTCACTAATGAATAATGACTGCCATAAATGGCAGAATGTCCTCAGTCTGGGTAAAAATAGTTCCGGTAAACCAGTTATGTCCCAGAAACCTCAATCACTTGGAAGCCTGTGCTTGTCTACTGTCCAACGTCAACATATGGAGACCCCGGTCCAGCATATCAATTAGAACAGGAATCGAATTTCGAATTCTCATACAGTCGTATATGGTTTTCTTTTAAAGTGTCCAACAAAGAATGACATTTTCACATCCACAGTTTTCAACTCAATCTGTTCTCTTTGCACTTCGCAGCACTGTCCAAAGGGAATAAGCCAGTCCACACCATCCTGTTGAACCCACACGTGCACCTTATTGGGGAAAACGCAGCGTGTATTGCTTATATTCGGCTCACCCAGTACATGGATGGTGGCGGAATGCCCCGCACCATGCAGTCCGAAGAGACCCGCGTGTGGCACCGTCGTGATGGAAAGTGGCAGAACATTCACTTCCATCGCTCAGGCTCCCCCAGCATTCCATCCCAGTAAGTACACTGAGGAAAAAAACAGCAAAAAAACTAACAATAACACTTGACTTTGGGGTCTTGACACACAACACTTGACACACCCTTTAATTAATTTTAATATTTATGAAGCTCAGCAAGTGATGCAGTTTGCTTCTTTGAAGGATCACATTTATGTTTTTATGCAAGTTGCTATAAAATGTAATGTATGCAACTTTGGTACAATATACAGGCAAAATGTATTTACTTTTTTCCTGTACAAGACTTATTTTAGTTTTGGACTGGTACTTCTTAATAATAAGAGGTGTCTGGATGCATTGACAAGGACAGGCTATAATGTTTGCTGGGGTAGGGCCTTTATGGTTTTGGTGGGTTGTTAGAAGGGATTTCAGCTTTAAATGCTCTAATTAAAGAACTATAGAGTATTACATATACAGTATATAGAGCATCTCACTCTGTCTCACAATCCATTTAGACACGAGGCATCCTCAAACAATGGGAAGTTTGATATTCAAATGTTTATGAGGGCTTAATGAGCTAATAACTTACTAGTTATGGTAACAGAGATGCTGCATAATTCTAATTCACGTCTCTTTTCTTCAACCACTCTCCAGGAATCTGTTATTTAAAACCATACTTTGAATTTCTAGATATTTCGTATAGTCACTTTGCTTAATTTATGTCCATTCAGCAAACTCACAAGACCCTCAGAGAGGCTGGCACTATCACCTGTATGAATGTTTGGACACAAGATTAATTTACGATCAACATCTATAGTCAACATCATTAGTTTCTATACCTGTCAATGGGTTAAATATTATGGCTATATGAATACGGTTGTATGAATACACAAGTCTCATTTCTTGATATTTGATATATCACAGAAAACATTTTTGCACTCCGTGCATCCTGTTATGTTCATTAACATTTTTCTTCCCTTTTTTCTTTTTTTGACAGTTAATGGAATATCATTGTGTGGTTAAAAAAAACAAAGAAAAAGAAAAAAAAAGAAATCCCTTCAGCATATCTAGTGGAGCAGTCAACTAGCCAACCCATGACTGCTCTGTAGACCTTTGACCCTTCTATAAGGATATGACGTCGCACAGGACACAAGTATTATTACATTTTACTGTTATGGCATTTTATGACTGGACATCATTCAAAACCACCGTCGGGTGGCCGCACACCGTATTTGGACATAAGGAAACAAGCATATTGAGAACCTTTTTTTGTTTGTTTGTTTTTTAAGATGTTTTGGTATGCATTTTAAATATGAAATAGAGATGTTTAAAAATCTATTACTGTAACCTCTCCCAAAAATAAGTTCTGTATTTTTATGTGTATTTATGTGTGTGCAATTCAAAAATATTTGGAAGATCAGAATGTTAAAAATTGAGCTTGCTTTAGTTTTGGTGATGTATATACATTGTGATTGTTGATTAAAAACAAAATAAAAACAAACACTGAAATTGCTATTCTTGCTATCAGAGGACTTAAGAGTTTACGTAAAATCCAGTTAATGAGCTACATTTATGTTTGCTATGAATCAAGTCATACTGTTGAAATGGTCAGATTTAAAACTATAGTACTAATTTAACTGTAAAGAAAAGCAAATCAGCTTACACTTTGCATTGAGATATGTTTGCCTTTATATCAGTGAAATAAGAAATAAGAGAATGTAGCATATATGTAACATACGAAAACTCAAGACTATTGTGTAGTGCATGGTGGGGGGAGGGGATGTTACCGTGAGTAAGTTCATATGAAAACTATATTATCTTCTGTTTAATTTGTCAAGCACTGATTTGTTTGCATTTGTTATTGTTGTGCATCAGTCCTCTCCCAAATGTTTCTGATGTCCTCCAGTATCATGGAGCTGTTGTCAAATCCATAGCACCGTTATGGTTACCATCCAGCGTAATTGAAACCTCATTGTAAAAACAAGAGGAGAAATAAAATACTGGTTGCCGAAGCACCCCTTGAATTTTGTATAAAACTGGGAAAAAAAGAGCTCGTTTTTCATAATGTTTGTACTTGTATTGTATGACTGTATGTGGGGTTTTTGTTGTCATTCTATTGTTGTCATACCACTGTTGCTTTGCTAATTACATAGAAAGTTTGGATACAGAGGATGGAGCGAACACTCTGGAGTCTCCATCTTCATCGTGTCAAGTGAAAGCTTGAGAGCATGGCAAAAGCTTTAGACTGTTAATTGTTACAGTCAGGAGAGTTGGACGGTAAAATTGTTTGGATGTCTTCCTTGTCGACGAGTGCTAGCCAGTGGTCCAACCATGGCAGGACTAAGACTAAATCTCTGTTGTCCCCACTGTTTGCTATTTCCAATTGGTTTGCCTCTTCTTTTTTTTAAGGGGAAAATGTGGTAAATGTTTCTTTTGACAAAAAGTATGATGTCAATGCAATGCACCACTCCTTATATGGTGTGTACCTGTTGCCAGCATGGCAATGGATGGCTTAACATGTTTAAGAAATAAATATATCAGCTAAAAGGTGTGATAAAGTACGAGTTTGAATTTGGCTTGAGTGTATGTTTGATTTGCTTTCCTCTCATGTGCAGGACAGAATCGAATAATTGGAGTGCCACAAATACATAAAAAAATATGTCAAAGGATTGAAACATAAAAGAGAAAACTAGAAAAATACAAGGTAAAAAATGCTGTTAAAAATGTTTTGTAACATAATTCTCAAAATTGATCTTTATTGTCTTATTTCGTCCTGACATTTTTTCTTTTTCTTTTTTAAATTTCTTTATTGCTATTGTTTTGATCTCTCAGTAGCATTTGTTATCTCAGTTGTAATTTTTCTTTTGTGGTTGCTTTTGCCTTTGTTATTTCTCATTTGCTTTAGCGTTTTTCAGATTTAGGTATTGTTTTTGCTGTTGCTTCTTTACTTTTGCATATTTGTTTGTTGATTAAACCTTTCAGTTGTCTTTGCTTTTTCCTGCTGTGCAAGCTCCTAAAGGATAACAAAAGCAAAAGCAATAAAAAAAAATCCAAAGCATGATGCAAAAATAAGAGGAACAAAATAGTAAAATCAAGTTAAGTTATATATGAAAATAAATATAAAGACTTCCTGAATTTTCTGTCTCTACCTTTCCATATTTTCATACATCCATCTATCTACACACATGCACACAAACACATACATATATGTGTGTGTATATGGGAATGTCATTTTGACATGTTGAAGACTAAATTTAAAAAAGTGAAGCATAATTACTCGGCCCACTTCCCTTACATTAGAAGATTTACTAAAAGCCCATAAATGGATTGTATAATAACACCCACTCCTTAACCAAGTAAACTTTTGATGACATTTCTTCACCAACTTTTTAAACATCTCCTTCGGCTCGCATTTGCAACATTATGAGATGGCTGGTTATGCTGACTTGGTAGTCAGTGTTTGTTAAGGCAGTCTAATTTGGAATTAAAAGGATGATACTTCCTACTTAAACCATGGATATTGATTGAATGACTATATTTTGAGCACTAATCCAATATTTCCACTGGTTTGTAATGAGATAGAACACTATTACAGAAAGTATACTGTTGTCCAGCAGAGGGCAGCATACGTTCTGCATTTTCCTGGAATCTTTGACACATGACCTCAATTTTAAGATGTAAATCTTGAACATTTTATCGCATTTAATCTGTTTCATGTGCATGAAAAAATTCAATATTCAATTTAATTAATTTGAATATTTTTATTCTCTATCAGCCATAGATACAATGCAGCCATTTTATTTTTGTCTTTTTGATACAATAATACATGCCCCGTAGGTATTTATATATGCGTTGTATATGTATATAACTGTAATCACAGAAAAAGGGATGCCGATTCTTTAAATTAAAGCATACCGGTCACAGTGAACTTTCACTTATTTGCATTTTACATTTCTCTAAATCACAAAGTAAACCGTGATAGTGAAGTAAATACATGTTGCAGGTACATACATTAGCAATGGTCAGAGGTGTACATAATCGTGTATTTAAGCTCCAAACCTGCCTATCTGGTGCTACTATGTCTATCTACTGTACCTGTGCACAGAAAGCAAGGAGGCGTTCCCATCTGACATTCAGGAGTGCAAGAGTAATTATTTGTAAAATGAACAGATACATTTTCTCTGTTAACAGAGACCAGCACACACTCACCCAGCACACACACGCATCCAAATTCACTCTCTAACAAATCACACACCTGGTTCGAATACTTGTGTTTGAAAAAATTAACTAAATAGAGAATATAAAGCAATTATATAGGTGTTTAGGTCTGGTGACGTCCGAATACATTGAAAATCAAAAGATTTGATGAGTCACTGCCCAATGACGAACAGTAAATGACCCAATAAATTCACTTGTACTCTACACTTACTTGTACACTGAACTAAAATAACAAAAATAGACTCTAAAATAAGACATCTTAAAGCATATTTCCAGTCCTGTGAAGATAATACCAAAAATGTTCTTCTCAAACCAGCAGTCGGTGCAGAATTTCAACACACAAACACTCAGTGCCTACAATCCAGCCTCACTCACCCATTTCATGCCCATACAACATGAGTCAATACCAAACATTTGGACAAAGGCAGAAAAAGATGCACACGCTCAAAAAAGACATACATAGAGGGAAAAGAAAGGCTAAAGGACAATCCACTGAACGACAAAGCAGTCAAAGCTAGGATCAAATTGCCAGATGTTGATTAGTCATGCCTGTTCTACTTCACATAAGTGATTATTAATTCCTAGCCTACAGATGTCAATAATTTTCAGATTACAGATCATATATAATACAAAGGACAAAATGCACACAGTTTCCACAAAACACAACAGCAGCAGTTAAATTCAGTGTTGATACAGTCAGATTTTCTGTTTGTGACATCTTGACCAACGGCATCAAAGAAATAAAAAAACAAAAAACAGACCAGAACTGTGAGTAAATGAGTTTCTCAGAAAAAGAAAATCTGAGTTTTGTGAGGCAGTGCAATGTGAAATACTGTCTTTCTATCTCAGCACCGACTTAAACAGCAGTAGCAATATTTTGTTGTTCTTCATCTAAAATACATTTTTAGTTAGCTAGAGTTATTTATGTTCCTCCTTTGTATGTATTTTCACTTCTATTTTTTTATTTTCATTATTTTTACCCTACACATTATCAAGACAAAACTAAGACAGTTTTCACATTCAAATTAGAGTCAATCAGGAAAACAACAGAAGGCTTTCTTTGGTCACAACAAGGCAAAACAACTTCAGAACATGAAATGAAAATGATAATTACACAGCATCTGTTAGAAAAGAAAACAGTTCTTTGTGATCAAAAAGGGAATCTTCCAGAAACAAAATGGGAAGACTGTGGTAGCTCTGAGGTGCCGAGGTACACACTGGGATTGCAAGTGGCTAATGCATAGGATTAGCAGGGACGTTCGCATGGACAGAGCCCGAGAGTTGGGGAGAGTGGAACTCGTTCTTCTACTCGCCCTCCTCCATTCCGTCCTCGTCATTGTCCTGACTTTTTCAGTGATGAAAGAGCTGGTGAAGTTGCTTCTGGAGGTCGCAGGGTTTTCTCTCTTTCGTAATGGTACCCGTTTCCCCTACAAGGACCTGCTTGTGCTGACCAGCTCCCCTCATCGCTGTTCGTCTGAAGGTCTGAGGTTTACGCGTGCGGATCCTAAAGATAGCGCAGGCACAGAGAGGGAAGACAGGACAGGTGAGAATCTTAAGAACACTGGTAATACCTATCAGGATAAAAATTGCACACAACTGAATACATCCCTTGTAATCCTCTGCTTTCGAGAGAACAATGGTGAAGACCGACACATATTATCCAACATTCATATGTGGTAACATTACAGTAAGTTTCTGGAATTTTTTTGTATGAATGATGGATAATATTTTCAATTCATATGAATAATTTGCGTTTCCTTTTCTTTTTTCATTTCAGACTTTCAGACTCAAAATACTTTGAGTTCCCCATCATGTTGTGAGATTGGTCCCCTAATGCACCAGAATACAAACGGAATTTCACTTCGGATAAACAACATTTTGCTCAGTCTTTCTATTTTTTGGCAACTCATCTATTTCAAATAAAATAATAACTTTGTCCACCTGCAAATAATGCATCTGGCATTTAGCAAAACAATTACGGCTACCTGGACTTAATCACATGACGAATGTAATTTAAATATTTGGCATTGGATCATTCATTTTATTGCTGACATGAAAGAATAATATAATTTAAACAGATTTACAAAATGTTGCATCTCTCACATATCATGTTTGTTGCATGTTACACCATGTAGGCAGATTGGGAAGATAAAACGTTACACGCGCCACAGCAAAATTAGCACGTTTAAGTCAATATTAGTACATTTATCAACCTTAAAAATTCACACTCATATGTAGGCCCACACACAAGCAGGGGTGTTAAATCTCTCTTAAACTCAATGATACATACATATGTTTGTTTATATGTGTAAACATCCTATTAAGATCATGCATTTGCAAAGCCTAACCATCACAGCTGAAGTCCTGACCCAACCCTACCCCTAGTTTTACCCTTGTTCCAATTTGGAGGACTTAAAAAAATCAATTGGACCTTATTGGGTCCACAGTTTCGGTACCCGCATTTACAGTAGGGCCCTAGAAGAGGGTGTTGTGTCTCATACCACTCATGCCATTGTGTAAAACACACCCACAAACACACACCCACACACACAAACCTCCTGACCACAGCTCCATCCCTTCTGACAATTTCTCTCTCTACCACAAGAGGGAGCTCTGCTCTGCTTAAACCACCCAAACTACCCAGTGTCTGACAGAAAGAGAGAGATAGCAATGATGAAATGAAATATGGAAAAATATCATAACGACCCTTTTAACACAAAGCAGAGTTACTGTGAAAATAGGTGCACACTAATAAAAAAGAAGACCATTTTCAAACCATTAGACATCTAAAGTAATTTAACTTATGGTGTACTAGTAGTATTTGTGATATAATTGATATTGGAGTACCTGCTTGAAGCCTTTTTGGGCTGAAGGGAGGTCTGGGGCCAAAGATGGATTGCCTGGGGAAGATATTTTCCTTTCCCTGTCCAACAGTGATGTCTTTTCTGTGCCACTGACAGCACAAGCATCTCCTGTCTTTTGCTTTGATGGTAGGAAACCCTCACATTCCCCAAATACCTACAGCAGGTCGAAAAGTAACAGCTTGCTTTTACTGCGCTGTTCTGTCTAAAATACGATTTTGAGTCAGTGTTGATGAACACATACAGCAGTTGGCAGTTGACAGCACACATACCTCTGCGTGGTCTCCCTCACTCTTTAGGACAGTCCTCTTCACCACCGTGGAGTAACCATCGCCCTCCGACAGAGTGACAGACCTCACTGGAGCTTCTTCTAATGACACCTCTTTATGCTCCATGCCATCCACAGAAACACACTCGCGGATGACCTTTCGAGTAACCTGGCAAAATAACAGATAAAGGTTAAATGATACATTTACTTCAAGGGCTAGGTAATCATAAATACTGAGTAATGAATGGCACTGAAACCAAGTGGGTTAGCAATCCGGCAATTCGACCAATCAGTGAAAATAGACATGCAAGACATGTATGCGTACATAAGTAGAATCTTGCTTTACCCTTTTGACAACTGTGTGTCCATTTTCATCCTTGTACCTCTCCTCTGTCACTGACTGATTGGGGAAGTCGGGCATTTCATCAGCCTGAAAGAGAGGCAGGCCGATGAACAACGATCAGAAATGCTAACTTTGGCCAGCGTGTTGTGTTAGAGTCTCCGCTCATGATTGAGAGGTAGCATTAAGAGACAAAACAGGGATTTTGGAAACCGCAAACAAATACGCAGGATTATGCTGTTAAACAAATGGACAAAGACGTGCTTGCGTCAGCCTAAAACACTTCCTTGAGCTTCAGCCATTAGTGCAACAAAGTGGCAAATTATGTTAAAAAACACACATTTTCACTCATTCACTCATTCTAGATTAATCAGACGCTGTCAGACAGGAAACAATGAACACCTGGCTGAGTTAAGACCTCCTTTCCTCGTTTGAGCGGAACACCGCCAACCATGCTGTATTGGATACCTTAATGACAACTTTCCTTCGTATAATTCTGGTGGTCACAAATTCATCATCTGAACTCTCTGACATTGATCCAAGTTCTGCGGCGATCTCCTGACCAAGGAACACAGATCTATTCAGATATTCTGGATGGTGATAAACCCTTTAAAAAGCACATTTTGGCAAAGCAGGCAACGAACAGAATGACATGGTGCACCTTCCAATGTGTGAGATGCGACCACAAACGTTTTCAGTGTGACACTGGAAGGTACAGCATGGTAGTCTGTAACATTCAAAAGCATCTGGAAAAGAAATCATGCCTCTATTCACAGGACGGATCCACAGCTTGCTAATTATAAAACAAGAAAGAAAAGCTCATAGCTAAAGTGATCGCCAACTAATATTGCTAGTCAACAGCAGCACAGATTCATGCTGATGATGGATGAATTTAAATCTGAAATTAAAATGAAGCAAGGGTGAGACGGTGTTTTCGTTCCAGCTCCCCAGAGGATTAGCAGTCATTCGTCTCAGGAGAATACATGGCATTTGCTAAAAACTTGGCTTGTTTTCACTAGGCTTTGTCTTACCCGTCGGAGAGATTTTTTTGTTTCAAACACTCCAGGTAGTTGTGGAGCCTCACACAGGATGAATTCCTCATCGGATGTCTGGGAATTGTGCGGCAACTCTTCACTCCCTTTGTATGCTTCCTGAGGGGGCTCATTGACGAAGGGTGCATCTTCGTAATCTTCACTTCCAGAAGACAACAGCGCATTTTGATTCAGCTTTCGCCGCCCTTCTAGGGGGCCGAGCCGATCCCGGGTGCGGCTTCCACTTGTACTTCCTCTAGGCTCGAGTGCGTCAGGCTCGGTCTCTGAGAAATCAGACGGCCCTTGTTTGCAGTCAAAGAAAGGCTCCGGGTCGGAATATTCAAAGGTAGGGCTCTCTTTGCCACCAAGACCCGTCTCTGCGCAACTTGCAAGTGTGCGCGCAGGGATATTTTCCACAGAGGAAGTGCTGGCATCACCGAGGGGGATGTTGAACTCATCAGGGGCAGATGAAGCCACCTCCGGTTTTGACTGGACTGAGGCCGACTCAGAAACCAAACAGTCGGGGCTCAGCGGAGCCTGGACCTCACCGGGATGCTGGCCACAGGCATCTGACGAGGGGCTCGGCTTTAGTTCCTCAAAGCTGAAACGTCCATCGCTGGTGACCGTGTCGGGAGTCAGATCCGACAGGCACTGAGAGGAAATCGTTTCGGTGGAGGGTTGGTCACATAAAACTGGATCTTGGACACTCTGTGGTGATGTCTCTTCCGTCCCAGCCTCAGACCCATTCGACTGTGCGGTTTGCTCAGATCTTTGGTGAGAGTCGCTCGTAACCTCTCGTCCATGAAGATGAGTCAGATTCTTCTCAAGTGTTTCTGTTTCAAATATTTCAACATATGAAGCATCTTTCCCAGATGGTTGGATTTCTTCACCAAAGCTTAGAGGAGATTTGGGGAATGTAAAGGCTTCGGTAGGGGATACAGGAACATCTTCATTGATATCAAGACTGGACAGGGGGGTTTTTGCCACAATCGGAGTGACCACTGCTTCAGCATTGCTTTCAGAAGGTTGTGACGCGCTGACTTCCACAACGTGACCGATTTCGGGGGGGCACTGACCATCAGGTGAAAGCTCTTCATACTCCGCAATATCACCAACCTCTGAGCTGTCGTCAAGGGAGTCTGACAAAGGTGTGTCGAGTGTCTCTGGTCTAAACTTCAGTCTCATCTCCTTCAGGTCTGAGAGGAGCTGGTCGAGCTGGGGGGACCCGGACTCTGGTGTTGTTGGTGTGGAGTCCGGGGGCATGATGGTGAGTTTATCTAGATCCCCTTGTCGATCTGGGGTCAAAGAACCTGGTGTAGCTAATCCACAATCTTCACTTTGACAGGGCAACCAGAGCTTTTCTTCCTTTTCCTGTGGTGAGTTTCCACGACGAGTCGATGTGATGTCAGATTGTGTTTTACTTATTTTTGAGCTTGGGGATGGTAATTCTAGTTCTGCAACAGAGAGTGTGCATAGCTCGTGTGTCAAAAGCGTTTGCTCAATTTCAAAACCCTGATTTCTTTCTAACTGAGCATTTTCCTGTTTGGGCGACAGTGAAAGATTTTTCATGGAGGATGAAGATGATACCTGAAAGAAATGATACAATGGAATGGAAAAAACAAATTACAAACAAAAATGATTTATGATGTCTCTGATGATAGAATGGAAATGAAACATGCATATTTAAAACTTATTTTGTCCTTATACCTTAATGCAACATGCATACATTTCACAGTTATTGAATGTTAACATACACAGAAAGATGGCAAATTAACTGAAAAATCTGAACTATTGATTGCGACCACATTGTGGTCAAGTGGACAAATTGTATCATTGTACGTCTTAAGATGAGTTTTGCTTCGACACCTTTCTGTGTGTTAATAACGTTCGTTTAATCAATAATATAGAAGTTAAAAAGCCAGTTAAAATGCTGAAAGAGGTGGTCTCATTAAGACATTCTTACCAATAACATGTTTTCAATAACAACATATTGAGATTTTGAAATTCAATAGCAGGGGTTGCATAGACTCAATACAAATTCAGGATTTGAAGTGCCATAACACTGAGAATGTAGATAATTGTTTCCAAGACGGGAAAAACTGCAATCCTGCTTAAAAGGAGGAAATGAGAAAAAAAATGCAACTCCTCCTATCTCCCGAAAGGTAAATTATAATGTTCTTACTGTTGAAAAAACAGCCAATTAATTTACACCGAATTTAACAGATAATACAAATAGTACATGTAAGGATATGAAAAAAAAGAATAAAAAAGATTACAAAATTGCACCTAGTAAAGATGATATACTTAGCACAACCAACAACGGGAGGGCACCAAATTGACTTTCTTTAACTTATTCAACAACTGAACTAAATACTGAGTGGAACTTACTATGTAGCTGCCACTGGGGCATACTCTGTACATATCCCTTGCAAGTAGAGCGTTATGTATTGACAATCCTCTTTCGTTGTGGTTAAGATATGAGTGGGAGCATGTGTTTTGTGAACAGTAGCAAGCACGGCAAACTGTGCATGTCTCTGACAACTGCATGGTTAAACTTTCCTGGCTGTTAATCTCTAATTACTCCTGTAGACTCCTGATCTTATAATTGTTTCTAAATTGTAATCGTCTTATAATAATGTTCATTAAAATGTACTTGATCATTAGTTCTCCTGTATCCTTGCAGGTCACTTTGGGTAAAAGTGTCTCATAGATGCATAAATGTAAATATAAAGAATTCAAATGTAAATATAACGCCATGTTGATATAATGTATGTATTGGGAAGCCACTTGTATCCAAAGTGAGTTACAAAAAAGAAGAATTAACATCACCATAATTTTTTGGATTACTTCACTAACAGATCACTCTGTCTGCTTCAGTGCCAACATGCCACATTATGACAATAAAGCCTTCATTTGTTATTAGTATAAGCTTAAGAAGCACCTACTGCATTCAAACTTGTATATGGCCATGATCATCTACTTTTACAGCCAACACTGCACTCACTGACAAGCAGGAGCTTTTGCTCTCTTACCGAAGCCGCAGAACTTTTTCGTTTTCTCTCTGGTGGTTTTTCTTTTTGTGTTGTTGGGGGAAAAAAACTTGAACACGGGTCATCTTTAAATGTGATCAAGGTACTGTCCATTCAGGTTCACACACCAATCAAGTTTTTGTCTCAAGATTCTTTATCTGCTTGTTTGAGGACAAACAACCAGACAGCATGATGAAACCATTTCTTTTGTATCAACTGATGGCAATATGACTCAACTCAGTGTAAAATAGCCCAACAATGTGTAGTTTGATCAGATCTGGTTGAATTTTGGCAACTGTGATATCTAGGCGGAAAAGCATCATAAAAAGACTGCTAATAAATGTTTGATCTATGAGACAAAATCAGGAATTTTGCAATCTGGAAGAAATAAAAGAAGATTTCTGGTTGGGCATTGTGGCTTTTCTGTACTGAATTTCATGTTTTGAATTTTTTTTACTTGACTTCTCTAAATGACTTCTGGGACCATTGACTGAGGCTTTAAAATGTCCCTTTACCAGAGTCAGAGAGACAGGCAATTGATAAGCTAAAAAGACAAAATAATAGAAAGGAAGAGCTTTACAAAGACACTGTGTTATATTCTGTTAGATTCTCATATTTTTGCCATGGTTATATTCTTGTGACACTATAGAAAAATAATATTGTCTTAAAACCTTGCTGTCACTTTAGGAATCCATGTCAGGGATTTTATCATTGAAATAACATAAAACCATAATGATTTGACAATGACTGTATAATTATACTTTTAAGCTTTTGTAATCACTTTTATGCTCACATTTGTTTGTTTGGATCCAGACTTGTTAACCCAAAACACAAGTAGATTAGCATTAGCATGAATTGCTAACCATTCTACTTATAGCTAACTATAGGCCTAATATATACAAATATAAATACTATATGTTCACAGATATAAATGAAAATCTTTAATCAGCAGTGTGTTACAATGTATGGAAATATGAATCCTTATTTTCTTTTTATTCTAGAGGCAAATTAATAAACTTGGAATCTATGTGATGTATATTTTCTGAAGGGGGGTTGATTACTCTGCTGTTTTTATCAAAATGGTAGCTTGCTAAAGAATTCAACGTATTACTGTGGTGAAATGCAACATTTTTACTGGAATTTAAAATTCTTCAAGCCTTTTTTATTGATCGGGCATCCTGTTAATCCATCGTATTATCGTGGAAGCTAACAGTCATTTTACATCCATATACATCATGTTATATTCAAGAAAGAAACATGAGGAAGTCGAAAGATAAACAGCAAAAATGTTCGTAGAGAAATAAAAAACTAAGGAGAATTGTAAAGAGGTGTGTTTTTGATGTTATTTTTTGTCAGTAATTAGATTTATTAAATTATTATCCTGCTTTACATCCTAAGTGAAATAAAATAAAAACTAAAGGACCATGATACTACTTGATTAAAAGAGGACTGTGTAGGACTGACTACTTTCTGTTTGTGTGTTAAAACAATTGACAATGGTTAAATAAGGTTTTTAAAAAGGACCAGTCATTTTGAAATGACAGTGCAAACATTTTCCTTTATACGGTGGATCATAACAATGGCAAATGAGTAATTGCTTACATGTCTTCATTGGTTGCTTCTGTGAACTCCTAGTTAAAGATGTTTGGTGTAAAAAGGAAACTGTTTCCACTGAAACTGATTCAACATTGAAAAAAGGACCACCGTGCATATGTGCTTGGACTGTGAGGGATTTATCATTTAAGTCAGAGGTAAAAAGTCTATTACAAGAAAGCAGAGGTGATGCACTTAGGGCCTGAAAACCTGAAGGAAGAGAATCTGGGGAATCTGCCCTGTTGTCATTAAACATGTCCTCCAGACAATAGTCAAAATCTTCACCATCTGACACTGAGAGCACAGATGATGTTGGCCTATCTTCACGATATTTTAGGAAATAGTTACAGTGCTGATGAGTTCTTTGTGCAAATGTCATGTGAGGAGAACGAGTCTGATGGTCCTCTAATGCCACAGATTCTGGGGAGGAGGCTCTGAAATCTGCCAGCCAGTCATTTAAAAGTGAAAAGTCCAAATCAGAGGAAATTGATTCTGGAGACAATGCCCT